TTCCAATCCCCTCCATGGACACAGGTGTATACAATCAAGCCCCTAGGCATGCAGACGGCTTCTACAAACATTGGTGTGAAGAATGGGTCGCTCTCAGTCTCCGCTCTAATTCATCCCAAAGGTGTTCTATGGGGTTGAGGTCAGGACTCTGTGCAGGTCAGTCAAGTTCCTCCACCCCAAACTGGCTCCTCCATGTCTTTATGGACCTTGCTTTGTGCACTGGTGCGCAGTCATGTTGGAACAGGAAGGGGCCATCCCCAAACTCCTCCCACAAAGTTGGGAGCATGAAATTATCCAAAATGTCGCCTTAAGAGTTCCCTTCACTGAAACTAGGGGGCCAAGTCCAACCCCTGAGAAACATTCCCCCCACATAATCCCCCCTCCACCAAACTTTACACTTGGCACAATGCAGTTAGAAAAGTGTTGATGTGGGAGGTCTATTGTTGTTGAGGGAGGGGGCATTTTGTTGTTGGGGATCTATTGTTGCTGGGGAAGGGTGTATTTTTGTTGTGGTGTATCTGTTTGTTGCAGGAGATATATTGTTGCTGTGGGAGGTCAATTGTTGCTGGGGAGGGGGTATTTTGTTGCTGTGGATCTATTGTTGCTGGGGAAAAGATGTATTTTGTTGACGAAGATCTATTGCTGCTGTGGGAGATCTATTGTTGCTGATACAGGGGGTATTTTGTTGTGGTGGATCTATTGTTGCTGGAGGAAGGGTATTATGTTGCAATGGATCTATTGTTGCTGTGGGAGGTCAATTGTTGCTGGGGGAGGGGGGTATTTTTTTGCTGGGGATCAATTGTTACCATGGGAGGTCTACTGTTGCTGAGGGAAGGGGGTATTTTCTTGTGAAAGATCTATTGCTTCTGGGGGAAGGGGGTATTTTTTGTTGCAGGTGATATATTGTTGCTGTATGAGGTCTATTGTTGCTGAGGCAGGGAATATTTGTTGTTGGGGATCTATTGTTGCTGAGGCAGGGGGTATTTGTTGGTGGGGATCTATTGTTGCTGAGGCAGGGGGTATTTGTTGTTGGGGATCTATTATTGCTGAGGCAGGGGGTATTTGTTGTTGGGGATCTATTGTTGCTGAGGCAGGGGGTATTTGTTGTTGGGGATCTATTGTTGCTGAGGCAGGGGGTATTTGTTGTTTGGGGATCTATTATTGCTGAGGCAGGGGGTATTTGTTGTTGGGGATCTATTGTTGCTGAGGCAGGGGGTATTTGTTGTTGGGGATCTATTGTTGCTGAGGCAGGGGGTATTTGTTGTTGGGGATCTATTGTTGCTGAGGCAGGGGGTATTTGTTGTTGGGGATCTGTTGTTGCTGAGGCAGGGGTATTTGTTGTTGGGAATCTATTGTTGCTAAGGCAGGGGGTATTTGTTGTTGGGGATCTATTGTTGCTGAGGCAGGGGGTATTTGTTTGTTGGGGATCTATTGTTGCCAGGGATTGTTGTTGTTGGAGGAAGGGGTATTTTGTTTTTGGGGATCTATTGTTGCTGGGGGTCTATTGTTCCTGGCTATAGTGTATCTATTTTACTGCTTTTTGTTACCAGTAACAATAGAGACGGTGCTTGGAGGTGGGTAGGGGGCGGAGACAAGGAGTGATGTGAAAGGAAGTGGGGGGAGGGGCACCTGCACCTATTTTCTGAGGAAAAAATCCCTGACCATACCAGCCAGGCAAGCTTTCCTTTCAGTCATTAGTGATTTTCGGTCACACGGCTGCGATTTGAAATCATGCAATTTGTGTGCAAATTCTGAAGACTTTATTGCGACTTTTGCAGAGCGATTTCCATTCTATTCTATGTAGGTGAAATCGCAACAAAACTGCAGAAAAAGTAATTCAAGAACTACTTTAGAAATCGCGCCGCAGCAAATTGCAAATGTTAAGACACCGACATTCACATTCATTAGATGGGATTTCAATTCCCAAATCGCACCTGAAATCGCACCGGTGTGACCGGGCACTATTGCTACTTGTGAAGATGTTCAACAATTTCTTGCGATTTGCAGAGCGATTTCCATTCTATTCTGTGTAGGTGAAATCGCAACAAAACTGCAGAAAAAGTCATGTGATAAACTACTTTGGAAATCACGCCGCAGCAAATCGCACACGTTAAGCCCCCGGTCACATCAAGCCTGACTTTGAAATCGTGCGACTTACAGTGAAGTCAGGTGAATTGCCAACTTCTGGTGCGACTTGCAAAACATCTGACACAGATATCTATACAAATCGCACCAACAGTAGTGCATGTACTACTTTAGATGCGGCGGCTCCGACCAAGTCGGAATCGCACGGATATGACCGCTCCAATTGCGGACAATAGGGTGCGACTTGGCATACGATTTGCAAGTCGCATGTCATGCAAATTACACCCGATGTGATTGGGGTGTAAGACACCGATATTCACATCCATTAGGTGCGATTTCAGTTGAGATTTTAATTCCCAAATCATGGCGGTGTGACCGGTACTAAGGCTCCATTCATACCCGGGCATTTTGATTAACGGGCACATTTGCCTCGATTCTTCCTGCGATTTCAAAACGCTCGGCCCAAAGGACAAATCGCACAACTCAAATATCAGATGCCATTCATTTAATGGCACCCAAAATCGGGCTTGCGGTCCTGCCGCGATTGTCATGCGATACATTGTGCTACAATTGTGGCAAACCGCATCAACGTGAAGCCTGTTGTTCAAAAAAGGAGCAGGAGCTTCTATTGGGAGACAGGCCTCGTGTGATGCGATTTGCCTCGATTTACCATGCGACGATCGCGGCAGGACCACACTGCGATTTTAGGTGCCATCAAAAAGAATGGCTTCTGAGTGGTGCGGTTTGTCCTTCCAGCAGAGTATGAAATCGCAGGCGGCGTCACGGCGCTTCTGCCTATTCAAAACGCCCGGCTGTGAATGGAGCCCCGGCCGACCAATATTTGGGGCAATATAGTGTATGGTATAACCTGTAGTAGGGAGACACCTAGTGGAGGTTTGAGATGCTGCACTTTTTAATGGAAATTAAAGGAAATTTGAATGGTTTCGGGCCGATTGTAATCTCACATTTGTTTTTTTTATATACATATTAAACTGTTTTATGTTTTCATTCCCCATCAATATAAAATATTTGTTTTAGAAATTTTAAAATGAAAAATGGGATCATGCTTTGCTGGTTTTTTTACCTTCCTCTGGATCAACTGTGGGTGTAGGATTATCACTTTTTTTTTTTTAATGGTTGAACTGGATGGACTTTTGTCTTTTTTCAGCCAGACCAACTATGTAATTACTATGTAATCTGTGAACACGCTGTGTAGAGTATCCATCATGATTCCTGGGTGTTGTTGCAGCGTCCTGCATAAATCCTGCAAAAATCTAACCCCCCCCACCACCACCACCATTGCAAAGAGGCTGCCATACCTGTGGCAAGCCATTCCATAGAAGGCAGAGCACAAATATAAACAGCTGAATTGTCCCTTGCACACCGTACAGGAAAGCACACATATATCATTGTAAGGGGCCCCATATTCACAGTGGCATAGTGGTTAGCACTTCTGCCCTGCAGCGCTGGGGTCCTTGGTTCACATTTCCAGCATGGAGTTTGCCTGGTCTCCTGGTGCTTGCATGAGTTTTTCTCCCCACACCCATGCCATGCTGGGTGGGTAATTGGCTCCAGTATGTGTATCTATGTGAGATAGGGGGATTGTAGGGGGAGCGGGGGCTGAAAAGGGGTTATATGAAAGCTCTGTGGGACACGTTCATTAATTGCAGGTGACGAGGACTATATATATATATATATATCAGCCATGTACCGTTTGGAAAAACAAAGCAATTTGGTCGCACAATTCCGTAGTTCTCAACCAATAGGCTGTGTCCCACTGCCGAACCACGGCCTCCCCTCTCCCGGGCCTCCGGCCAGCTGTAGATCCTCGTGTCTCCCAGCTCCCATTGCTACCCACAACCTTCTATTGAGGCACACAGTGCCCCCCCAAGAGCCCACAGTGTCTACAGTGCCCCCCAGCCTGCTGTAGAGCTCCCAGCCCTCCATAGTGCCCCCAATCTCTACTGTAGGACCAGGTGACCCACATTACACCTCAACCTCCCCCAGAAGCCTCATCCACTATGGGACCACCAGGTCTGCTGCAGAATCCCCTAACCACGCCACTGGGTTTGACCATTCTTCCAGAAGCACATTTGTCAGGTCAGGCACTGATGTCGGGGGGAGGAGGCCTGGCTCGCAGTCTCCACTCTAATTCATCCCAAAGGTGTTCTATGGGGTTGAGGTTAGGACTCTGTGCAGGACAGTCAAGTTCCTCCACCCCAAACTGGCTCCTCCATGTCTTTATGGACCTTGCTTTGTGCACTGGTGTGCAGTCATGTTGGAACAGGAAGAGGCCATCCCCAAACTCCTCCCACAAAGTTGGGAGTATGAAATTGTCCAAAATGTCACCTTAAGGGTTCCCTTCACTGGAATTAGGGGGCCAAGACCAACCCCTGAGGAACAACCCCACACCATAATTCCCCAATCCACCAAACTTTACTTTTTTCTGCAGCGTCTCCATTGAAATCTATAGAACCAAAAATGCAGCATTTTAAAAAAAGTCCCTGAACCTTTTCAAAAAATGCTTCGGGTGAAAATGCAGAGATGTGAACGTGTCCTATAGGAAATCATGTTCAATGGACTGCTGTGCATTTCTGCAAAGCACAATGGAAAACGCACAGGTGTGAAAGTGTTACTAAACCCTGGACCCTGCATTCACTATATCCGCTCTCCACAGACCCTCCATTCACTATATCAGCTCTCCCCGGACCCCGCATTCACTATATTCGCTCTCCCCGGACCCAGAATTCACTATATCTGGACTCCCAAAGCCTGCATTCACTATATTTGCTCTCCCCAGACCCTGCATTCACTATATTCGCTCTCCCCGGACCCAGAATTCACTATATCTGGACTCCCCAAAGCCTACATTCACTATATCTGCTCTCCCCGGACCCTGCATTCACTATATCTGCTCTCCCCGGACCCCGCATTCACTATATACAGTCTCCCCGGACACTGCATTCACTATATCTGCCTTCCCTGGACCCTGCATTCACTATATCTGCTCTCCCCGGACCCTGCATTCACTATATCTGCTCTCCCCGGACCCCGCATTCACTATATCTGCTCTCCCCAGACCCTGCATTCAATATATACTGTCTCCCCGGACCCTGCATTCACTATATCCGGTCTCCCCGGAACCTACATTCACTATATCCTCTCTCCCTGGACCCTGCATTCACTATATATCCACTCTCCCCGGACCCTGCATTCACTATATCTGCTCTCCGACCCTGCATTCACTATATCTGCTATCCCTGGACCATGCATTCACTATACCCGCTCTCCCCACACCCTGCATTCATTATATCCACTATCTCTGGACCCTGCATTCACTATATCGACTCTCCCCGAACTCCGCATTCACTATATTCTCTCTCCCCAGACCCAGCAATCACTATATCTGCTCTCCCCGGACCCTGCATTCACTATATCCAGTTTCTTCAGACCTTGCATGCACTATATCTGGTGTCCTCGGATCCTTCATTCACTATATCTGGTCTCCCTGGACCCTGCATTCATATATCCCCTCTCCCAGGACCCTGCATTCACTATATCTGCTCTCCCCGGACCCTGCACTCACTATATCCACTCTCCTCGTACCCTGCATTCACTATATCGACTCTCCCCGAACCCTGAATTCACTATATCCATTCACTCCCCGGACCCTGCATTCACTATATACACTATCCCAAGAACCCTGCATTCACAATATTACTTCTCGAGACCCTGCATTCACTATATCTGGTCTCACAGGACCCTGCATTAACCATATCTGCTATCCCCGGACCGTGCATTCACTATATCTTGTCTCCCCGGAACCAGCATTCACAATATCCGCTCTCCCAGGACCCTGCATTCACTATATCCGCTCTCCTAAGACCCTGCATTCACTATATCTAGTCTCCCCAGACCCTGAATTCACTATATCCACTCTCCCCGTACCCTGCATTCACTATATCCACTCTCCCCAGACCTTGCATGCACTATATCTGGTGTCCTTGGACCTTTCATTCACTATATCTGGTCTCCCTGGACCCAGCATTCACTATATCCTGTCTCCCCGGACCCTGCATTCACTATATCCAGTTTCCGCAGACCTTGCATGCACTACATCTGCTCTCCCTGGACCCTGCATTCATAATATCCGCTCTTCCAGGACCCTGCATTCACTGTATCTGGTCTCCTTGGACACAGCATTCACAATATCCACTCTCCCAGACCCTGCATTCACTAAATCCGCTCTCCTAAGACCCTGCATTCACTGTATCTGGTCTCCCCGGACCATGCATTCACTATATCTGGTCTCCCCAGACCCTGCATTCACTATATCTGGTCTCACAGGACCCTACATTCACTATATCCGCTCTCCCCAAACCCTGCATTCACTATATCCGCTCTCCCAGACCCTGCATTCACTATATCTGCTCTCCCCGGACGCTACATTCACTATATCTTGTCTCCCCGGACCCTGCATTCACTATCATATTATAAAGTGAAAAAAATGCTGCGCTACATGAAAAAATTGCACAATTCCTATATATCAAAAAGCAAAGTGAAAAAAAAATAAATAATAAAATAAAAATTATTGAAAAAAGAATTAAGTAAATAAAACTATATATATATAAATAAACAAGGACCACAAAAAAAATCAAAAAGTATTTTTTAAGTATGCAAAATCAAGCAAAAGTCATTTGGATAATGAAAAAATCTCAAGTTCAATCATTAAAGTGTTCTTCTCCGTGCTAAACCACTCTTTGGTCCTCATATGGACGCACAGAAGATCACTTTTGCATTTGACTCAGAAGATGTCTTTTGTAATCAGCCAAAGTAATTCCTCATTCAGCCGTATTCCTCATTACAAAGAACTCCACATAGTGCTTTATCCTTTTACACTTTTTTATTCATCAATTAAACATAAGAAATGCACTCACGTTCCGGAGGTGTATATTGCACCAGGTATGATGAACATCCAGTGATGTACTGATTAGACACTAGATGGCAGTATCATCTCAGCAGCAGAGTCCTGTACATGCTCAAACCAGACCCCATCCGTAATGTAATGCCAGGCAAAGCACGGGGCCACTTAATGAATGCTATTGCCTGCTGTAATGTCGTTCCAAGAGCCGCTTACAGAGTACTATAACCACTGTCCCGATGAATGCTACAAGTCCGCATCATCTCCTCCCCGGACCCTGCATTCACTATATATACGCACTCCCAGACCCTGCATTCACTATATCCGCTCTACTCGGACCCTGCATTCACTATATCTGCTCTCCCCGGACCCTGCATTCACTATATCTGCTCTCCCCGACCCTGCATTCACTATATCTGCTCTCCCCGTACCCTGCATTCACTATATCCCAGTCTCCCGGACCTGCATTCACTATATCTGCTCTCCCCGGACCCTGCATTCACTATATCTGGCTCTGCCTGGACCCTGCATTCACTATATCTGGTCTCCCCGGAACCCTGCATTCATATATCCCTCTCCCAGGACCCTGCATTCACTATATCAGGTCTCCCCGGACCCTGCATTCACTATATCTGCTCTATATCTGCATTCTCCCCCTGTACCCTGCATTCACTATATCCACTCTCCCCTGTACCCTGCATTCACTATATCCACTCTCCCATACCCTGCATTCACTATATCCTCTCTCCCCGACCCTGCATTCACTATATCCATTGCTCTCCCCAGACCCTTGCATTGCACTATATCTGGTCTCCCCGGACCCTGCATTCACTATATTTGGTCTCCCTGGACCCTGCATTCATATATCCACTCTCCCAGGACCCTGCATTCACTATATCTGCTCTCCCCAGACCCTGCATTCACTATATCTGCTCTCCCCAGACCCTGCATTCACTATATCCGCTCTCCCCGAACCCTGCATTCACTATATCCATTCACCCCGGACCCTGCATTCACTATATCCACTCTCACCGGACCCTGCATTCACAATATCCGCTCTCCCCCGGACCCTGCATTCACTATATCTGGTCTCACAGGACCCTGCATTCACTATATCTTCTCTCCCTGGACCCTGCATTCACTATATCTGCTCTCCCAAGAACCTGCATTCACTATATCCACTCTCCCCGTACCCTGCATTCACTATATCCACTCTCCCCGTACCCTGCATTCACTATATCCATTTTCACCAGACCTTGCATTCACTATATCTGGTGTCCTCGGACCCTTCATTCACTATATATCTTGGTCTCCCTGGACCCTGCATTCACTATATCCGCTCTTCCAGGACCCTGCATTCACTATATCTGGTCTCCCAGGACCCTGCATTCACATATATCTGCTCTCCCTGGACCCTGCATTCACTATATCCACTCTCCCCGGAACTCCTGCATTCACTATATCCATTCACCCAGGACCTGCATTCACTATATCCAGGCTCCCCGGACCCTGCATTCACTATATCCCTCTCCCGAGACCCTGCATTCACTATATCTGGTCTCACAGGACCCTGCATTCACTATATCTGCTCTCCCGGACCTGCATTCACTATATCCGGTCTCCCCGGACCCTGCTTTCACTATCAATCCACTCTCCCCCTGACCCTGCATTCACTATATCCAGTCTCCCCAGACCCTACATTCACTATATCCAGTCTCTCCGGACCACTGCATTCACTATATCCAGTCTCCCTTGACCATGCATTCACTATATATCTGGTATCCCGAAAAGGACCATGCATTCACTATATCCGCATCTTCCCGGACCCAGTATTCACAATTCTCTTATAATTCACTATATCCGCTCTCCTAAGACCCTGCATTCACTATATCTGGTATCCCAGGACCCTGCATTCACAATATCTGCTCTCCCCAGACCCTGCATTCACTATATCTGGTCTCTCCCCGTACCCTGCATTCACTATATCTGCAGTCTCCCCTCCCCGGACCTCTGCATTCACTATATCCATCTCCCAAGGACCCTGCATTCACTATATCAAGGCTCCCGGACCCTGCATTCACTATATCAATCTGCTCACCTGGACCCTGCATTCACTATATATCCCCCCCGAGACCCTGCATTCACTATATCTGGTCTCACAGGACCCTGCATTCACTATATCTGCTCTCCCTGGACCCTGCATTCACTATATCCTGCTCTCCCGGACCCTGCATTCACTATATCTGTCTCTCCCCGGACCCTTTTTTCACTATATCCACTCTCCCTGACCCTGCATTCACTATATCCAGGTCTCCCCGGACCCTGCATTCACTATATCCAGTCTCCCTTGACCAGACCCTGCATTCACTATATCTGGTATCCCCGGACCCTGCATTCACAATATCGCTCTTCCAGGACCCTGCATTCACTATATCCGCTCTCCCTAAGACCCTGCATTCACTATATCTGGTATCCCCCCGGACCCTGCATTCACTATATCTGGTCTCCCCGGACCCTGCATTCACTATATCTGGTCTCCCCGGACCCTGCATTCACTATATCCGCTCTCCCCCGGACGCTGCATTCACTATATCCCTCTCCCCGAGACCCTGCATTCACTATATCTGTCTCTCATAGGACCCTGCATTAACTATATCTGCTCTCTCCACCAGACCCTGCATTCACTATATCCCGCTCTCCCCGGACCCTGCATTCACTATATACACTCTCCCCGTACCCTGCATTCACTATATCCAGTTTCCCCAGACCTTGCATTCACTATATATCTGGTCTCCCTTGGACCCTGCATTCACTATATCTGGTCTCTCTCCCTGGACCCTGCATTCACTATATCTGGTCTCCCTGGACCCTGCATTCACTATATCCGGTCTCTCCGGACCCTGCATTCACTATATCCGCTCTCCCAGGACCCTGCATTCACTATATCCTCCTCTCCTCCAGGACCCTGCATTCACTATATCTGGTCTCCCCGGACCCTGCATTCACTATATCCCCTCTCCCCGGACCCTGCATTCACTATATCTGGTCTCCCAGGACCCTGCATTCACTATACCTGCTCTCCCAGACCCTGCATTCACTATATCCATTCTCTCCGTACCCTGCATTCACTATATCCAGTTTCCCCAGACCCTTTGCATTCACTATATCTGGTGTCCTTGGGACCCTGCATTCACTATATCTGGTCTCCCTGGACCCAGCATTCACTATATCTGGTCTCCCCGACCCTGCATTCACTATATCTAGTCTCCCCGGACCCTGCATTCACTATATCAACTCTCCAAGGACCCTGCATTCACTATATCTACTCTCCTAAGACCCTGCATTCACTATATCTGGTCTTCCAGGACCCTGCATTCACTATATCTGGTCTACCCGGACCCTGCATTCACTATATCTGGTCTTCCCAGACCCTGCATTCATATATCCCCCCCTACCAGGACCCTGCATTCACTATATCTGTCTCTCTTAAGACCCTGCATTCACTATATCTGGTCTCCCTGGACCCTGCATTCACTATATCCCCTCTCCCAGGACCCTGCATTCACTATATCCACTCTCCTAAGACCCTGCATTCACTATATATCCCCTCTCCCAGGACCCTGCATTCACTATATCTGGTCTCACAGGACCCTGCATTCACTATATCTGCTCTCCCCAGACCCTGCATTCACTATATCCACTCTCCCCGGACCCTGCATTCACTATAATCCGCTCCCCGGACCCTGCATTCACTATATATACTTCTCTCCCGGACCCTGCATTCACTATATCCCCTCTCCCCCGAGACCCTGCATTCACTATATCTGGTCTCACAGGACCCTGCATTCACTATAATCTGCTCTCCCCGGACCCTGCATTCACTATATCTGTCTCCCTTGACCCTGCATTCACTATATCTGCTCTCCCCGGACCCTGCATTCACTATATCTCTCCCCCCAGACCCTGCATTCACTATCATATTATAAAGTGAAAAAAAATGCTGCGCTACATGAAACAATTGCACAATTCCTATATATCAAAAAGCAAAGTGAAAAAAAAAATAAAATAATAAAAAAAAAATTATTGAAAAAAGAATTAAGTAAATAAAACTATATATATATATAAACAAGGACCACAAAAAAAAAATCAAAAAGTATTTTTTAAGTATGAATCAAGCAAAAGTCATTCAAAACTCAAGTTCAATCAATAAAGTGTTCTTCTGTGAACCCTCATTTGGATAACGAAAAAATATGTGCATCTGTCATCAATTCCCGTGCAAAGACATCCTCCACCATATATCTGCTCACCTCACGCAGTGTGACCGCACATTATACAATGTTACGTCTAACTGCACTTTTGGTCCCATTTGGACTCAGAAGATCAGCTTGTTGAATGAGGACTCCAAAGTAATCTCCCTCCTGATAAGCGTCTTTGTATCAGCCGTATTCCTCATTACAAAGAACTCCACATAGTGCTTTATCCTTTTACACTTTTATTCATCAATTAAACATAAGAAATGCACTCACGTTCCGGAGGTGTATATTGCACCAGGTATGATGAACATCCAGTGATGTACTGATTAGACACTAGATGGCAGTATCATCTCAGCAGCAGAGTCCTGTACATGCTCAAACCAGACCCCATCCGTAATGTAATGCCAGGCAAAGCACGGGGCCACTTAATGAATGCTATTGCCTGCTGGAATGTCGTTCCAGGAGCCGCATTACAGAGTACTATAACCGCTTCTGTCCCGATGAATGGTAACGTTGTGACGTCATCCGTACACTCCTCCCTGTACCCTGCATTCACTATATCTGCTCTCCCTGGACCCTGCATTCACTATATCCTGCTCTCTCTCCCCGGACCCTGCATTCACTATATCCTGTCTCCCCTGGACCCTGCATTCACTATATCCTGCTCTCCCCGGACCCTGCATTCACTATATCTGCTCCCCCGGACCCTGCATTTCACTATATCTGCTCCCCTGGACCCTGCATTCACTATATCCAGTGGCTCTCTCCCGGACCCTGCATTCACTATATCCAGTCTCCCCGGACCCTGCATTCACTATATCTGGTATCCCCGGACCCTGCATTCACTATATGGTTTGCTCTCTCCCCGGACCCTGCATTCACTATATCCGCCTCTCCCCCTGACCCTGCATTCACTATATCCAGTCTCTCCGGACCTTGCATTCACTATATCTGGTCTCCCCTGACCCATGCATTCACTATATCTGGTCTCCCCGGACCTGCATTCACTATATCTGGTCTCCCCGGACCCAGCATTCACATATATCCGCTCTCCCCAGGACCCTGCATTCACTATATCTGCTCTCCTAAGACCCTGCATTCACTATATCTGGTCTCCCTGGACCCTGAATTCACTATATCCCCTCTCCCGAGACCCTGCATTCACTATATCTGGTCTCCCAGGACCCTGCATTCACTATATCATGCTCTCACGACCCTGCATTCACTATATCCATTCACTACCCTGCATTCACTATATGCACTCTCTCCCGGACCCTGCATTCACTATATCCAGTTTCCCCAGACCCTGCATTCACTATATCTTGTGTCCTTGGACCCTCATTCACTATATCTGGTCTCCCTGGACCTGCATTCACTATATCTGGTCTCCCTGGACCCTGCATTCACTATATCCTGTCTCCCCGGACCCTGCATTCACTATATCCTGTCTCCCCGGACCCTTGCATTCACTATATATCCACTCTCCCCAGACCCTGCATTCACTATATCCGCTCTCCCTGGACCCCGCATTCACTATATCTGCTATCCCCTGACCCTGCATTCACTATATCTTGTCTCCCTGGACCCTGCATTCACTATATTTTGCTCTCTCCCCAGACCCTGCATTCACTATATCCATCTCTCCCCAGACCCTGCATTCACTATATCTGCTCTCCCAGGACCCCTGCAATTCACTATATCTGGTCTCCCAGGACCCTGCATTTTACTATATCTGTCTCTCCATGGACCCTGCATTCACTATATCGCTCTCCCCGGACCCCTGCATTCACTATATCCGCTATCCCCGGACCCTGCATTCACTATATCTGGTCTCCCCGGACCCTGCATTCACTATATCTGGTATCCCCGGAACCCTGCATTCACTATATCTGGTCTCCACCGGACCGAGCATTCACAATATCCGCTCTCCAAGGAATCTGCATTCACTATATCTGCTCCCCTAAAACCCTTCATTCACTATATCTGGTCCCCCAGGACCCTGCATTCACTATATCTGTCTCCCCGGACCCTGCATTCACTATATCCCCTCTCCCGGGACCCTGCAATCACTATATCTGGTCTCATAGGACCCAGGACCCTGCATTCACTATATCTGCTCTCACCAGACCCTGCATTCACTATATCCATCTCCCCGGACCCCTGCATTCACAATATCCAGTTTCCCCAGACCTTGCATCACTATATCTGGTGTCCTTCGACCCTTCATTCACTATATCTGGTCTCCCTGGACCGAGCATTCACTATATCTGGTCTCGCTGGACCCTGCATTCACTATATCCTGTCTCCCTGGACCCTGCATTCACTATATCCAGTTTCCCCAGACCCTGTATGCACTATATCCCTTCTCACGGACCCTGCATTCAATATATCCACTCTTCCAGGACCCTGCATTCACTATATCGGGTCTCCCCGGACCAAGCATTCACTATATCTGTCTCTTCGTGGACCCTGCATTCAAAATAGCCGCTTTCCCAGGACCCTGCATTCACTATATCTGGTCTCCCCGGACCCTGCATTCACTATATCTGCGATCTCCCCAGACCCTGCATTCACTATATCTGCTCTCCCCGGACCTGCATTCACTATATCTGCTCTCTCCGGACCCTGAATTCACTATATCTTGTTCCCCCTGGACCCTGCATTCACTATATTCGCTCTCCCAGACCTGCATTCACTATATCCGCTCTCCCCGGACCTGCATTCACTATATCTGCTATCCCAGGACCCCTGCATTCACTATACCTAGTCTGCTCTCCTGTACCCTGCATTCACTATATTCGCTCTCCCCAGACCCTGCATTCACTATAACGCTCTCTCCCCAGACCCTGCATTCACTATATCTGCTCTCCCCGGACCCTGCATTCACTATATCTGGTCTCCCCAGACCCTGCATTCACTATCATATATTAGAGTGAAAAAAATGCTGCACTACATGAAACAATTGCACACAATACCTATAAATCAAAAAGCAAAGTGAAAAAATAAATAATAAAAATAAAAATTATTGAAAAAAACAATTAAGTAAATAAAACTATATATATATAAATAATAAGGTCCACAAAAAAAAAAAAAAAAAGTATTTTTTAAGTATGAATCTAGCAAAAGTCATTCAAAATCTCAAGTTCAATCAATAAAGTGTTCTTCTGTGAACCCTTCTTTGGATAATGAAAAATATGTGCATCTGTCATCAATTCCCGTGCAAAGACATCCTCCACCATATATCTGCTCACCTCACGCAGTGTGACCGCACATTATACAATGTTACCTCTAACTGCACTTTTGGTCCCATTTGGACTCAGAAGATCAGCTTGTTGAATGAGGACTCCAAAGTAATCTCCCTCCTGATAAGCGTCTTTGTATCAGCCGTATTCCTCATTACAAAGAACTCCCATATAGTGCTTTATCCTTTTACACTTTTATTCATCAATTAAACACAAGAAATGCACTCACGTTCCGGAGGTGTATATTGCACCAGGTATGATGAACATACCAGTGATGTACTGATTAGACAATTCACAAAGAAAGCGGCTACATTATGCAACAGAGTCCTGTACATACTCAAAAACCCCATTTCCAAAAATTATGCCTTTATTAGCACATACCTGCATTTGACTATATGGCTGCAATGTCGCCCTGGTTTACCATCACCTCAGTATGAGACAATACACACAGACCTGCATAAACACCATATAAAATGACACCAGTACCAGTCTAAATACCTGTGCAAAAAAGGACAATGACTACAAGAGTCTAAAGTCCCTGTGGCATTCGCATAGGTGAACACTTCCCAAAGGAGGTGTTAC